ATAGATATACCTTTACATATAAGAACGGCATAAAGCAAAGTATTTTTTAAAAGGGAGTGAGCATGCTCTCTCTCTCACACACACACATACACAAATAACGCGTGTGTTGGAGTCCACCCCCTGCTCTGTGTCTGAGGGGGGGAGCTGCTCCTCCATCCCTCCTTCATTTGCATCCCTACCTTGAAGTTTTCGAGGAGACCATTTACTGGGGAAAGGAAGGCGGGGAAAGCCCACGTCTTCTTCCTTTCTCCCCTCCTCCCGCTTCCCTAAAAGATGAATAATGCAACGAAGTACAGAATTATGTATTAGCACCAAATTTCTAGGGGAAGCAGCTCGACATGAAAGAAGGAGAGCTGGAACAATGCTGCCATGTAAAATTCAATTTTGGCTGTATGACTAAGATTTCATTATTGGGCTGTTCATATTCAAAGTAATGCTGCGATGAATTGTAATCATTTCAATTATCTTCAAGATAGTTTCTTCAGGACACAAGTTGTCAAAGACTCTCTCTCTCTCTTATCCCCCCCCCCTCCTCTTTTCCCCCTTTCTTTTTAAAGTACATTCTTGCTGCTCCGTAGGTCCATTTTCCAGACGGTTTGTCCTTCTTGCTGCATGATTTAGTTTGGGGCTTGCTGGCTTGCTTGCCCCCCCCCCCCCTTTTTTTTTTCTTTTTTCTTTTTCTGGCGCATCGATGGATTCTTTTACATTTACTCCACCGGAAGCGTTCAGGCACTTCTTCTTTTAATGCAGATCGACAAAATTGGTGTCGGGTTTAGCGCTGGCCATCGGGCGGTGACGCCTCGGCGGAGTTTGTGCCCCCGCCCGCTGTCCTCAGGCGCCTCGCCTCGCGGGTCTGCCACAACCGGGGCGGGCAGGGCCCTCTTCTCCTACCCCGCTTGTTTCACTCCTCTCTGGAAGCACAATCCAGACCAAAGTAAGGCACCTTGGCCTCTCCCCGCCTTTGAACAACTTGGTTCCAGAAAGAGAGAGTTCCTCCGCCCCAATTCCATTGGCTGGATCGTGTCCTTGGCTCTTTCAAAGATCCCTTTCTTACAGAAGGGTTCAACACATTCCAGGCAAGGTTGTTAAAAGCCTTTCCAAACCAATGGAAAGAGAAAACCTCAAGATTAAAATCACAACAAAATAGATAGTATAAGTGATGTATTGGAAAATTACTGACAGAATGACTGACTTTACAAATGGTACAATGATACTTATATTGCTGGGGAAAATAAATATATAGATTTTAGATATATAATATATAATGGCAGTAATATATATTGCAGTGTATGTATATATGTATATATATATATATATATATATATATATATATAATGCAGTAAATAATATATATAATGTAGTAAATATATGTATATATTGCAGTATATATACATATATAATGCAGTAAATATTATTCATATATATAATGCAGTAAATATTATTCATATAAATAATGCAGTAAATATTATTCATATATATAATGCAGTAAATAATATATATAATGTAGTAAATATATGTATATATTGCAGTATATATACATATATAATGCAGTAAACAATATATATAATGTAATAAATATATGTATATATTGCAGCATATATACATATATAATGCAGTAAATATATATATATAATATGCAGGAAATATTTTATATAATTCAGCAAATATTATTAATATATATAATGCAGCAAATGATATATATAATGTAGTAAATATATGTATATATTGCAGTATACATATATAATGCAGTGAATATTATATATATATATATATATATATATATGATATAATATATAAATATTATATAATATATAAATATTATATAATATATAAATATTATATTACATATATATATATAAAAATATTTTTATATGCAGTAAATAAAATAAAATAAATTTCCACACCAATATACAAAGTATATGGTTAGTAATTCAGCTAGCAATTTTCCAATACATCACTTATACCACCTTTTTTGCTATTGTTATGTTTTCCACTAACGTAAGTATTATTATACGAACTGTATAATGCTACTTCTATTGGTAGAAATATGAATATATTATAATGTATAATATATTAATATATATAAATATATAATATCTCTATGGTATAGTATATATTTATTATATTTATACCAATAGAAGTATCACTCTATAAATAATATTATACAATTTTATAATATTTTCCCACCTATATAAGTGTTATTACCCATTTTGTCAAGTCAGTAAGGGGAGTGTGTGTGCGTGTCTCTCCCTTTGAATCCATGTAGCTGTCTAGAGAGAACTGTCTTCTCTACCCAGACATCTCCTAAACAAGTGTTTTAGGACTACTAGGGATTTGTTATGAATCCATCGCAAGGTTCTGTGGGCCAGAGGAGGATATGTGGGGTTTCCTCCTTCGGGCTCCTGTTGATGGCTCTTCCTCCGGAGATCTTCCCAGTGTCCGAAAAGCCCCCTTGAACCCCCAACCCGTCCTGCCTCCCTTCCTTTCCCGTTCTTCATTGCATCGCTGCATCTCCGACTGGATATTGTTGCTCCTCTTCGGAGAGGCCCGGCAAGTGTTTGTTTCTCCCGCTTTGAGGCGTGCAAACCGCAGCCTTGCTTGCTTTCTTTCCCCTGTTGACTTTCTTTCCCTTTGGAGAGAGAGAGCCCCTTCCAGGGCGTGGAGAGAAAGCCCTCTGCTGAGACCCCTTGTTGTCTTGGGTGTTGTTGGGGGGGGGGGCTTTCAGGTCTCCTTCCCCGTTTGGAAAAAGACTCCAATGCACCCTCCAAAGGATATTATATTTGTGAAATGTCTCCCTTTGTGGGAGCTTTTAACACCTTCTTATAACGAATCATTTGTTCTTTTCTCCTTAATTTTGATAGACAATTAGCCATCCAATATACACCAGTTGACTATAGCCGAGCATTAAACTCGCTTTTCTTTAACGCTAATTTAGCATAGCTGCTTTGTTTAACTTTGCCTTACAAGAACCAGGCTTTCGTGGAGGGGGGAGGGTGTAATTTGAGGGGGGCACGGTGCCTCGTGGTGTCCCCCCCCTCTCTCTCTCTCTCGGCTGCCTCTTTGTAGGCGGCTCTGCCGGGCAGCCTCTCTGCACAGCCTCTCTCGTCCTGCCTGCCTGCCTGCTTGGCACCTGGAGCCGAGGAAGGGAAATTAGCATTGATATAGATTTAGTTGCAATGTAATCTCTTAAATCTGTCCAAGATTCGGGGAGATAATTACACTTGCACGGAATTGCCAGGGGTCAGCGTCTCTGCGGACCTGAGGAGTTGATTTACTAACAATAGTGTGACATACAAAAAATGGTGTTTGAGATTATAATGCTAATAGAGGCAGTCACTGGGGAGAGCAAGCTGGCTCCAACTAATTCGGTTTGGTCCCCCTTTTCTTTCCCCTTCCTTCCTCCCTTCCTTCTTTCCTGCCCTCCTTCCTCCACCTCCTCCTCCCCTCAAATCACTTCCCGGGTTTAATTTATAAGACTGAGTTTGCTAGGCATTACAGAAAAGGGCGACGAAGTTGTTTTAGAGTATGTGAGTAGCAGCAGTAACCTCTTGGTTTACCACTCTTTGAGATTAGCTGCGACTGTCTCCCTTCCAGAAACAGATATGCTAGCTTCTCAGGGGCCTTCCACACTTAGGGCCTTGATATCCCAGAATATCAAGGCAGAAAATCCCACATTATCTGAGTGTGGACTCAGGGCCCTTCCACACAGCCTTATGTCCCAGAATATCAAGGCAGGAAAAAATCCCACATTATCTGAGTGTAGACTCAGATAACTCAGGGCCCTTCCACATAGCCATATATCCCAGAATATCAAGGCAGAAAAATCCCACATTATCTGAGTGTAGACTCAGATAACTCAGGGCCCTTCCACACAGCCATATAACTCAGAATATCAAGGCAGAAAATCCCACAATATCTGCTTTGAACTAGGTTATCTGAGTCCACACTGCCATTCAAAGCAGAAATGTGGGATTTTATTCAGCTGTGTGGAAGGGTCCCCAGAATATCAAGACAGAAAATCCCACATTATCTTAGAGTTGGCTCATGACCCTTCCACACAGCCGTATGTCCCAGAATATAAAGGCAGAAAATCCCACAATATTTGAGTGTGGACTCAGATAACCCAGTTATCTGAGATATTATGGAATTTTCGGTCTTTATATTCTGGGATATAGCGCTGACTGGAAGGGCCCTTATTAAAACTGGGGCGCCTTCCACACAGCTGAATAAAACTCCGTATTTTCTGCTTTGAACTGGATTATATGGCAATGTGGACTCAGATAACCCAGTTCAAAGCAGATATTGTGGGATTTTCTGCCTTGATATTCTGGTTATATGGCTGTGTGGAAGGGTCCTGAGGTCAGGCTGCTTCGGGAAAACGAGCTTAGTGGAAGAAGGGAATCATGATCTTTTTTCCTATCACAAAAAAATAATAAAATAAATCTGGCTTTTGACCAGCAATCCTAACTAGATCATGAGAAGCAGGCTTCAGATGTTGGCAGATACCTGCAGTCCTTTGGCTGGATTTGACCTTTTGGTGATCGTTTTCCACATCCAGGCTCTATAATCCATCCTGCTGAGGGGTGGCCTTGGCTAAGAAAAACTCAGATAAGCTGCTTCCTACCCTTGATAAGCCTTATACCCTTTAAAAACAAACAGGCCCCTTCCCTGATCTTTATATAATACTATATTGTATTGTATTATTATTATACCCTTTATAAACAAACAGACCCCCTCCATAATCTTTATATTATATTTTATTGTATTATTATTATAACCTTTATAAACAAACAGACCCCTTTCCTAATCTTTATAAAATTATTATTATTATTATTATTATTATTATACACTTTATGAACAAACAGACCCCTTCCCTGATCTTTATATTATAAGTTATTATTATTATTATTATTATTATTATTATTATTATTATTATTATACCCTTTATAAACAAACAGATCCCTTCCCTTATTTTTAATTGCTTTCAAATCAGCCAACCATGGTGTAGGCCTTTATTTTATTATAAACAATATAAAATCAAGAAAACAAACAAACCAGATTTACACTGAATAAAAAATATAGTAATAATCTTCCAGCCATCAGCCCTCAAATCTGCTAGATAAATAAATATGTAGAGATAGATGCACTTATGCTATACATATATCCTACAACCTCCAAACCTTAAAGGTGGTAGATAGTATGTTGTGAGTTCAATGAGAAAGAGAGAGAATATCTACCACAGTTAAGGTTTGGAGGCTGCCTGAGATATGTCTACATCTATAGATATGAGTATCTATCTACAGCATTTTAGATTTGGAGACGTGTGTTTGAGGCTTCAAGGCAGTACAAAGATATTTCCACCTAAATAGCAGGAAGTAGGATTCTCTGTTCACTTCAAACCCAATCTAGGGACTCATAAAGAAAAATGTAGAGGCCTATTTGGAAAAGGCTCCTGATATCCTGGGTGACTTCCTGTACAGCACAGGAAGCAATGAACCAACACATCAGTCTTGTCTAAATACAGGTCTTAGCCTGAGTCTTGCTTCCTTGTATTAATGCTTCTTGTTTGGGTGGGATCTACTATCAAGGAGGGTCCAACACAAAATCTAGCATGGGACTAGGACTCTGGGGACCAGGATTTTAGTCCCGCACCCCTTGGCCATGAGATTGACTGGGCAACCTTGCCTAAGTCACACTTTCTCAGCCTAGGAGGAATGCAAAGGCAAACTCTCCTCTGGACAAAATATCACCTAGAAAAATCTGTGATTGTTCTCTTTGGGATTACTCTAAATCAGAAACCACTTGAAGGCACACACACAAAAAAAAACAACAACAACAACAGGAATAGCTGCCTTCCATGGGTTTTGATCGGACCATGAGGCCAATGCCTTTCTACAACTGTCAGAAGGATTCCTTGTTCTCTGGCATTTCTCCTATCTCTCTCCCCTTGAACCAAAGCCCACCACTGGATCTGTATCACGTCCCAGATAAAATGTTTAACGAATGAAAAGTTTATTCTACTTGTTTTTATTTTACTCGTGTAGAGGGGGGGGGGGGCAAGAAGAGAAGCCATGAAGACTATCTACTACGTTATCAACCCAGAACAACTTCTTCATAAGTTTCCCCCATCCTCTGGAGACATAAAGATGTCAGTAGTGCTGAAGGTCCAAACCTGAAGTAAAGCCACTAAAAAGTGGGAGACTCTAATGGTTCAATTCAATCCAAATTCCTCCAAGTAAGTCCCATTGAAATCAAGGACCTTCGTTCTAAATCAGTGTGCCTGGTATTTCCGTCTCAATTCTCTGCTATGTCCTACTGAGTTCAACCATTCAAGTTGAATAGGACTGGCTTTCAAGTTAAGTGGATATAGGATTGCACCCTTAGTGTCATTCTTGAAACAGTTTTCTGGAAAGCAACCCTAATGGCATCGAAGGCTTTCATGGCTGGAATCACTGGGTTGTTATAGGTTTTTAGGGCTATATGGTCATGTTCTAGAAGCACTCTCTCCTGACCTCACAACCTTTGAGGACCTCACAACCTTTGAGGATGCTCGCCATAGATGCAGGCGAAACGTCAGGAGATAATGCTTTAGAATATGGCCATATAGCCCTAAAAATCTGCAACAACCCAAACCTAGTGGCTTTCAGGATCCAATGTACTTGGGATCTCAATATTTTCCTAGATGAGAAAACCTTGGGGATGGACCTATGGGAGAAGCTTGAGTGCATGGGATTCAGAGAAGGGAACAATAGTCAGATATGGACTTCAGATGTTTTCATAGTGGAGCGAAGCCTTTGTATAAACAAACATCCCAGGAGCGGAATAGGTGCCTGGTAGACCTGAGGCAAAGCTCCAATGCTCCGAGATTAGCTTGGAATTAGCTTGGAATCGAAGAGGTCCACTATGAGGCATCCGAGGAATGTGTCCTTTAATCCCCCAAAGAGGCTTAAAGGGGTTAACTTCTCTCTGCCCGAGGAGGAGATCCCACGTGCGAGAAGACAGGGCCTCCTCCTCCTCCTCCGAGTGGAGTGTGCCTTGATCTCCTCCTCTCTTCACAGGCCTGAGGGGCAGAAAGGAGTTCTGGGTGGGACGGGAAAGTCGCCCTCTCAAGTGGCCAGTTACAAGCTTGACACGGGTTTCCTTCATCTCCCACCGCACAGAAATACGGGCGTGGGTTTATTCGAAACTTCGGGTCTACCGGTCCTTCGGCGTGTGGATTTTTCTTAGGAGACGTGGGGGTCGCGGCTGGGGGGGGGTCTCAGTCGGCAGCCCCTTCTATGAGCGAAGTGTGGACCTTGCTTGCTAGTCGCATCTTTCAAGGCTGTCGGAGGAAGAGAAAGAAGGAAGAGTGAAAATCCTTGAATCAAAGGCTGGCACAACTTTGTAGCAAAGGCTTTTGGTCTTTTTTGACACGTGGGGTGAGGAAAAGCGGATAGTGGGGTTCCCCTTGATTTACAGTAGGCAGGTGAAATACCATCCAAAAACCCAGATATGGAGGTGGACGTCATTTCAGAGATGACTCTGAAGCAGTAGTTCTCAGCCTTTGGGCCCTCAAGTGTTTTGGCTTCCAAATCCCAGAAATCCCAGCCAGTTTACCAGCTGTTAGGATTTCTGAGAGTTGAAGGCCAAAACATCTGCAGACCCACAGGTTGAGAACCACTGCTCTAAAGAAAAGCCAAAATAAACTGGAAGAGGTGGTTGCATACTGCAGACAGAGCCGAATTAAAACCTTTAGAGATCCTAACTAGTAAAAAAAAGAGATCCCCACAACATATATACACACACGTGTACACACAGAGGTATACGCATAGCATACATAAAATGCATGTATATAATTCAAAATATGAATTTTTATTTTTCAAAATGAAATAATACTAAAAAATAATGTGTTTTTGTATACTAGCACTTTATTTCTGTTTGAAAAGTTTTTTTCCTCTTTTTCTAATGGCAATTTAAAAAAAATATTTACTTTATTTATACCCCGCCTTCCTCCCCCGAGGGGACATCCACACACTTTCATCACCCAAACCCCCCAAAATCCCACCCACAACCTCCCCTCTTTGAGTGTGGGAGCCCTTTTTCGTGGAACCTGGTTCAGCTGCGCCATTGGCAGTTTTGCACCATATGGCCCATGGGAAATCCAGCAATGGGAAATCTCTGCGCTGCTCCCTTTACTAATCCCTAAAAACGGATTAATTTGATTTCATGGCTAATCCGGCTCTGATCACAGATTTCGTAAAGGGAACTGGATTGCATTAGAGCTCCCAGAAACGCCCAGCCAAAGTGAGCGCCAAAAAAAGGACTCTTTTCGGTTTCTACCGCAAATGAGGCCGCAGGCTGACTCCCCAGCAAGGCCTCAGAGATACCACGAAGCCGGAACCCACGGGCCACGTTCTTTGTGGAAAGGGAGGGGTGCCCTGTCGCGCGTGGGCCTCAGGCAGAAGCCCTCCCGAGGTCAGGAGTCTCTGGACCTGCAAGGAGCGGTGCCACGACAAAACCACGATCTCCAGTACTGCCAGGGGACGCTTGAGCGAAAGAGCAGTTGCTCATCTCCAAGAGGGTGCATCTACACCAGAGGTTCTCAACCTGTGGGTCCCCAGATGTTTTAGCCTTCAACCCCCAGAAATCCGAACAGCTGGTAAACTGGCTGGGATTTCTGGGAGTCCTAGACCAAAACTCCTGGGGACCCAAAGGTTGAGAGCCACTGATCTACACTAATGCAATTTGAGGCCACTTTTAACTGCCCTAGCTCAATGCTGTGCGTCCATGGAAGCTGTGGTTTTACAAGGCCTTTCATTTCCAGTGCTTCACCAAACTTGGAATCCCAGGATTGCATAGCATTGAGCCATTGAAGATAAATTGGTGTCAAACTGCATTAATTCTACAGTCCAAGTAGGGGAGAGCGACTCCTCCTTGACTTGCCAGAAACCTTCCATCCTTTGAGGCTTAACCAGAAGCATCTTACAGCATTCAGGCCTAAACCCTGACCAAAACTTTTAAACTTTGTCAAGAACTTCCTCCTGGGAAGTGTCTGGGAGGCAGTGGCTGGATTTATTCCTGCCTTGAGTGAGAGGTGGATATTGGGATTCACCTGAGCTGTATTTCCACCAAGCCCTGCCTAACCATAAGCAGAGCTGGCAAGCCCCCTCAGAGCTGGCAAGCCTCCTCCTTCCTTTGGAGGCTTTTGCAGAGCCTCCAAAAACTCCACTAAAGGAGAAGAGTCCCTTCTACCGTTTCCCTTTGCTTCTCTGTCTCCCTGGCCTCTTCTCCCAAGGCCCTGTTGAAGATTTCCCTCTGAGCTTCCCAAGTTGTGGGCTCGCAAAGGAAGATCCCCATAGTTAAAGCAATGGACCATAAGGAAGACTGAGCGAAGGAAGATAGGGAGCGCGAGAAGATCCAACCAGTCCATACTTCAGGAAATAAAGCCTAACTGCTCATTGGAGGGAAGAATATTAGAGGCAAAGATGAAGTACTTTGGCCACACCATGAGAAGACAGGAAAGTTTAGAGAAGACAATTATGCTGGGGAAAAAGGAAGGAAAAAGAAAGAAGTGCAGACCAAGGGCAAGATGGATGGATGGTATCCTTGAAGTGACTGGCTTGACTCTGAAGGAGTTGGGGGTGGTGACGGACAACAGGGAGCTCTGGCGTGGGCTGGTCCATGAGGTCACCAAGAGTCGGAAGGGACTGAATAAACAAGAACAACAACAACAACAATGAATTATTATTATTATTATTATTATTATTATTATTATTATTATTATTATTATTATTATTATTATTATTATTATGTATGATTTTCTTCCCAGCCCTCCTGGCCTGAAAGCTCTCCTGGCCTCCTCCTGAAAGCCCATCTTATCTGTGAAGGGACCCACTTGGGAAAGTGGTCAGGTCGTGCCAAGGGATTCCAGGTCCTGCCAGCCTTGGCCTCCTGGCCTGTGGCTCTTCAATCCGCGTGGGCTCTGCTTGGGGGCTGCCAGAGGACCGCTTGCCAGGCAAGGCCTTGCCTTCCTTCCCTTCCCTTCCCTCCGCTTGCCCTCCCCTCGCCTCCGACTCCTTCTCCTTCTTCTTATGGCACGGAAATGACAAACGCACTGTTTTTATCCATACAATTTATTTCATTATTGTTGCCAGCACGAAGCATCACAATCAATCATAAGGAAGCCCTCTTGGCAGGTGTCAATCTTGGTCTGTTTTTGTACCTCTCAGTCTATATTTAATCCAATTACAAGGGTCAGGGAGTAAGTGCAAATCCCCTTGTTACAACTCACATCTTATTCACGATTTAAAGTTAAGAGAGAGAGAGAGAAGGCAACTGGATCACATGGACGCTTTGGGGAAGCTCCGAGATCTTGAGAGGGATCCACACGTTCTGGTCTAATTTCCTTCCTCCTCCCAGGATGTAAATTACCCAGCGAGTGTTTCTGATTAAAAGGTTTGTCGAGGGTCGAGGTGGGCGCTTTCTCTCTCTCTCTCTCTTCCCCCCCCCCTTCCCTTTTGAAAGGAGTGTTTGTGTGCAAATGAAGTATCTTGTTATTTCGCTAAAGGAGAGGAGAAGCTTTAATGATGGGAGATCTTTCCGCTCGTTGCCCTTTCAAATACAATTGTAGATCGAACTCAGCCTTGTCACGTCGAGGAAAAGTGAATTTCTAACATCCAGGACGTGCCTGTCGACTTTCAGCGAACTGCATCCAATCACCCCCAGGGAATTCAGCTAATGTCTCAGTCGGGGGAGAAAAAGGGAAAAGGGGAAGAGGAGGAAGGAGGGGGGAGGGAAGGGAGGGAGGGAGGGAGGCAGGGAGGGAGGGAGGCAGGGGAGAAGCCAGGGGATGATGAGGGGCAGCAACAAGGGCCAACACCGCGCTTCCTATTAGGAAAATATTCAAAAAAGAAGGGTGGTTGTTTGGGGGGGGGGGGGGAGAAGTGCAAGGCAAACCCGGATCATGTCGGAGGCGAATTAATACTATTAGGGTTCTGAAGGGGGCAGGGGAGAGGGGGCAAAGTCCAGTTGCGGGAAGGGGGGGGGTCTTCCTCTCTCCAAATCTGATTTCCTCCACCTTTTCCTTAAACGCACACCTTAAATTAAGATTGTTGATCTCCAACGCACATTTATGATCTGGGCAGGATTGACTTCTGAGCAAATCGGTTTAAGATCCGACCTGTCATTATTAGAATTCTCCTTTCAACCTCCCTTCCTACCGGAAATTTGTTTTCTTTCTTTCTTTCCTTCTTTCCCTCATTTCTTCCTTTCTTCCTCCTTCTTTCTTTCTTTCTTTCCTTCTTTCCTTCCTTCCTTCCTTCCTTCCTTCCTTCCTTCCTTCCTTCCTTCTATCTCCTTCCTTTATTTCTTTCTTTCCTTCGTCTTCTTTCTTCCTCCTTCCTTCCTTCCTTCTTCCTTCCTTTCTTCTTTCCTTCCTCTCTCCTTCTTTCTTTCTTTCCTTCTTTCTTCTTTCTTCCCCCTTCTTTCTTCTTTCTTTCTTTCTTTTTTCTTTCCTTCCTTCCTTTCTTCTTCCTTCTTTTTTCCTTCTTTCTTTCTTTCTTTCTTTCTTTCTTTCTTTCTTTCTTTCTTTCTTTCTTTCTTTCTTTCTTTCTTTCTTTCTTTCTCCCCCCCTCTTCTTTCTTTTTTTCTTTCTTGTTAATCCCGGACTCCTTTCCAGCACGATGGCCCTGCGCTTGCCATTTCCTCTCTGCAGATTCTCCTGGGCGCAAACCTTCTGATTCTGCCGGAGGGTCTCCTCCATTTCTCCCCATTCCTCTCATGCAGTTTTCTCTCTTCCTCCCATCTGGTCGAACAGCCAGACCTAAAGAGACACTGTTGGGAGGAAGTTACATCCTCTTTCATTTCTAAAGAGCTCTCTTTTATTCCTAGAGACGTATTTACTCCCGAACTACAACGCAGTGGCAAAGAGTTCAATGGGGTACAGGTTAGGCCCTACAACTTTACTCTGGTCGGGAGAAAGAGATCCTATATATACCATCCCACGGACCTGAGAAAGGTCCGGCTTTCCTGGGCATGTGATCTGTGCTGTGAAAGAGTGCTGTCTGTCAATTTGCACATTGTTTTCTGAGGCTGTGGTGAAGAGGCGTTAGTTGACCAACGTACCAGGAGAACAACATGATTTCTCCAACTGCCTCACCATCTTAGGGATGAGTTTTGCTTCTCCTTTCTGCAGGTAGATTGATCCTGATCCATTCTAGTCAATAGGAGCTTTGTCACGGATTCAACCCCCAACTGGTTTATTCATTAACTCCGCAGTTTACGCGGGAGTAAGAATGTACAATACGCTCTCTAGGAAGCTTCTTCGCCTTGGGTTGTTGTGAGTTCTGTTGGACCTCCCCACCTTTGAGGATGCCTGCCATAGATGCAGACGAAACGTCAGGAGAGAATGCTTCTGGAACATGACTATACAGCCCGGAAAATTCACAACAACCCAGTGATTCAGGCCATGAAAGCCTCCGACAATACTTCTCCTTGTTGTAGAGGCAAGGCAATTAAAATCGGCAGAATGACGCTACAAGTCAATTTGACAGGTAAGCAGCTCTGAAGATTATCAGGTGGATTTATTAAACGGAGAGGGAGAGAGGAGATGCTTCGGATGCCCCTGGAATGGGATCCTGAGCGAGAAAACTCAAGGGCGGGCGACAAGGGGGAGCCCTCCGGTCCTCCTTTCCTCCTCTGCCGCCCAGAAAAGCCATGACCAAAGAAGGGACGGGTTTGAAAAGCACATACCTTGAACCAGGCCACCAGGTCTTTTCTCCCGGCGGGTTTCCCCCTTTCCAGCCACGTTTCTCCTCGCTGGGTGGAATTTGGTTTTCTCCCTGGCTCGCTTTGCCTTAATTTTGTCCCCCTCCCCCCGAAAAGAAACAAATAAATAAGCCGTCCCTGGCAGCTTGTCTTTCTCGGACCTTATTTTGCCGTCTGTGCGATGCCACAGTAAACAAATTGTACTGATGTGCTTATTATTATTGCTCAAGTTCTGCTTGGGTAGAGAATTAAACCTCATTATTACGGCGTGTGTGTGTGAGAGAGAGAGAGGGAGAGAGAGGGAGAGGGAGAGAGGGAGTGAGTGCGCCTCTCTTTCCCCTGCGCACTGAGAATTGCTCCATCTAGGCGAAGACACGGGGGTTTGGGGCTTCCTTGTAGGAAAACAGAGAGAGAGAGAGAGAGAGAGAGAGAGAGGCTTTCTGCCACAGCGTAAATCAAATATGTATAGCACTTATAAATTTGTAACACATCATTGTTGCTTCCCATTCAAAGTGGCTTCACAGCTTTCATGCCTTGTGCCCATTAGCCGCCTCTCCCAGCTCAACGCCTCCGCGGAACACAAGTTCCTTTTTCCGGCGCACACACACAAACACACACCTTCCCCCTTCCTCTTCGCTTTGCCCACCTCGAAGGCCTGGCCATTTCCCCCATCGGAGAGACCAGGGGGAGATCCGTTTCCACGATTCAGTTTGCAGAAGTGAGAAGGCAAAAGAATGGAAAGACAAATGCATCACTTGAAAGAAAAGGAGGAGAATAGAGAGGAGGCCCTGTGGGTTATGGGCCCAGCCTATTCCAAGCCCAGTGCTTCCTTCCCGTGAAAGAGGCCTGGAGTCCTTGAAGGTTGTGGGGTGACTTCATCTCCTCTAGGGCAGTGGCTCTCAACCTGTGTGTCCCCAGGTGTTTTGGACTACAATTCCTAGAAATCCCAGCCAGTTCACCAGCTGTTAGGATTTCTGGGAGTTGAAGGCCAAAACATCTGGGGACTCACAGGTTGAGAACCACTGCACCCTGAAACTATGCAGTTTCAGGGTGCAGTTTAACTGCATTGAACTGAAGCATATGAGTCTACACCAGGCATGGGCAAACTTGGGCCTTCCGGGACTGCAACCCCCACCATTCCTAACAGCCTCAGGCCCCTTCCTTTTCTCCCTCAGAGGAAAGAGCCTGAGGATGTTAGGAATAGTGGGAGTTGGAGTCCAAAACACCCAGAAGGCCCAAGTTTGCCCATGCCTGGTCTACACAGCTATATAATGCAGCTACATTCTGAAAGGAAACTATATGTCAGTGTAGATGGGGCCTAATTTATTTTATTTATTTATTTAAAGTATTTATCTTCCGCCCTTTTCACCCCCGCAGGGGACTCAGGGCGGATTACAATGTCTATGGCTATTTAACATTCCAGCTTTTTCATGAGGACATTCTGGCCACCAGGGGAGCTGTCGCTTCACCGTCCATTTGTGACACTTTTGAAGTACTTCCTCATTCTTTGCATGCTTGCTGGAGATTTTTATGGTGTCATAAATTAGCCTCCCCATATAAGCGGTACCTAAATTTCCTACTTGACAGATGCAACTGTCTTTCGGGCTGCATAGGTCGACAGCAAGCTACACAAATTGGTCAGAAGTTCACTCCAACCCCCGGCTGGCTTCGAACTCATGGCCGTTTGGTCAGTAGTGATCTTAATGCAGCTGACTCCGGGCCTAAGAAATGTTGGTTAGGTTCAGTCTCTCACGCCCTCTTTCCCGCGCTTCTGTTTGCAACTGTTGTCATGAATTGGGGAGACACGAGGCTTCCTAACTGGGGGCTCACAGCAATGAGGAGATTAGGTACAAGGGATTTTCGGGAGTCAGTGATTTGAGCATCGGGCTCTGGCTCTGGCAACCAGGGTTCGGATCACTGAAGTCCACTAGGTGACCTGGGAGCGAGCCCCACTCTCTCAGCCTCAGATGAAAGCAGAGGCAACACATTTCAAGGAACTCCTGTGATAAAGTCGCCTTGAGTTGGAAACGACACACAGCAACATTGACATTTCCGATGTGACTCTGAGTGATGAGAGAATGTCTTGGAGGGGAGGCTGTGCAATTCAACTGTGACAGGATCCAGTGGAGGTGAGTGCGCTGTCCGAAATGTCAAGAGGGGCCTCGGCCTTGGAGCCGCTCTTCCTCTTCCACACTGCGTGAAGTCCTGGACTGACTTCACCTTTCAGTCCGGAGTGGCATACTAGACTCCCCCACGCCCGCCCCCTTCGTGTTCCTGTGCGCGCGAGAGAGAGAGCGAGGGGAGAGAGGCCAGGCGCGCCCCCTCCTGCTCTCCGTCCTCCTGGCTGCCAACCCGAGAGAGCGGGCGGAGGAGAGGAGGGGAGGGGAGGGGGCGAGTTGCCGGGGGAAGGCGAGGGGGCTCTCAGGCGTTGGCCGGGGGACTGTTTGCCCGCTCGCTCCGGAGGCCCGGCCCGGCAAACTTGGCTTCACGCCTGATGGCTTTCTGAAGCGCCGCGCCGGTTGGGGCGGAGGGGAGGCCGCACCTGGCCCCGCTTGGCCGAGCCCTCGCCTTTTATTGACAGCCAGATAAGCAGGCGGGAGCCGTGGCGTTTCCAGCGCTTCCTTGGAGAACCCTGCTGGGTTGCAGGGAGCCCCAGAGCCTTAATGGCCGCGGCGGACGAAAAGGAGGAGGAGGAGGAGGCGACGCCAAACAAGCAGGCAAACACACAGAATCACACACACACACAGAGATTGAGAGAGAGAGGCGCGCTGGCCTGACAAGCCCTTGGCTGCCCTCTCCCTCCCTCCCTCCCTGGGCTCTCCAACAAGGGCCCGGGCTGGGCTGCTGCTTCTCCTCCTCGCCCAGCCTCTCCTGCTGCTGAAAGGCAGGTCGGAGGGTCCCTGCCCGGGAAGAAGGCCAAGAGAAGGAGCACGAAGCCCAGGAAGGGGCCAAGAGGGCCGCCCCCGAGCCCTCGCCTCCCGCTCTGGGTCTTATAAGCCAAGCCAAGTTGAGCAAACCTAGGCTTCCTCCCAGAGAAGGTTGTCATCCGAAGCAGGCCCAGACTTGGAGGAGACCCACTGGGTCGTCAATGGAACTGACCTATTTGTTGTCGAAGGCTTCCCTGGCTGGAATCACTGGGTTGCTTTGAGTTTTCCGGGCTGTATGGCCATGTTCCAGAAACATTGTCTCCTGACGTTCCACAGATATGTAAACCCAACTTGCCTAATTTCCAACAAACTTCACAACCTCTGAGGATGCCTGCTATAGATGTGGGTGAAGTGTCAGGAGATAATGCTTCTAGAACATAGCCATGCAGCCCGGAAAACTAGCGGCAACCCGAACTGACCTATGTTTAGCGGGGTCTCCCCCAGGATGGGCTAACCAAGAGGATGTTGGCCATAGGCTGGATACCAAGGAACTTCCTTCTAAGTGGCATTGAATGTTTGCCATATGTATTGTCGAGGCTTTCATGGCCGGAATCACTGGGTTGTTGTAGGTTTTTCAGGCTGTATGGCCGTGTTCTAGAAGCATTCTCTCCTGACGTTTCACCTGCATCTGTGGCAGGCATCCTCAGAGGTTGTGAGGTCACTTCACAACCTCTGAGGATGCCTGCCACAGATGGAGACAAAATGTCAGGAGAGAATGCTTCTAGAACATGACCATACAGCCCGAAAAACCTACAACAACTTTGCCATATGTGTTGGAAGCCACCCTGAGTCCCTTCCGGGGAAATAGGGCGATCTACAAATAAAGATTATGATGATGATGATGATTATTATTATTATTATTATTGTGAACCTGCGCAGAATCCTAGTTCTTGCTGTGGCCCAAACACTTCTTGGCAGATCCTCCTTAGGATAGGTGGAGAATGGGGTTGATTTTGAAACTCATTCTCCCAAGAGGAGCTTCAGCAGATGGACTGACTTCCTCTTTGGCTACTTTTGGCAAACCAGTCCAGTTTTGTGTCCCCCATTAAGGACCTAGATTTATTTTATTGATCCATTTGCTTGAATTTAACCTTTCTCCTGATATAGGGACTCAGGGCAGCTAACAACAAACATGATAATAACACAGCACAACAATAATGTAATAATAACAACAACAACAACAACAACAACAACAACATGACACAATACAATTGAAATAGAGCAAATGCATTAATACAAATATAAAAAATAAAACTTTGAATTTTTAGTGTCATGGAACAAAAATATTTGCATCTGCCTGTGAAAGGTAAGCAGGGACAGGGTCAACCTGGTCTCTCTTGGGAGGGAGTACCAAAGACTAGGAGCCACCACTGAAAAAGCCCTATTTCCCACCAAACAAGCTTGAGAGAGTGGTGGGGCAGAGTGAAGGCCCTCTCCAGAGATCTTAGGTTCATGCTCAAAGATATGGTTCTCCAAATAACTGGGACTCAAGCCCTATAAGGTAGAATCCCTCAAAGGTCTCAAAGGACTGTAACATTGGACCAGCTCTCAACTAGGGCTGTGTGGAAGGGCCCTAGGACTTCACACAAACTCCTCTCAGAAAACCTCAAAGCAGCTTTGCAAAAACTGTTTAGAATACCAGTGATTCGTGCTGGGTGGATTTGTTCCGTCACTTTACACCTGGGAGATCAACCAAAAATAATGGAGGGATGAAACTGGAAACACACTCTTCTCAGGCCTTGTAGGGACAAAAGATCTGGCAGTCTGGCACTGGTTCTTGCTGCTGTGTGCCTCCAAGCCCTTTTCCAAGCGACCCTAAAGTGTGGGTGGGAGGATGTTTGTGTGTGGGGGGGAGGGGTCTTAGCCCAAGGTTAAGTACACTATGCTGGCTCTGGGCGCTGGGGATAACAAGAAGCACAAGCCTTCATGTAGATAGGTTTAACCTGACCTCTTCCTGAACAAGAGGGCATTCCCTTAGCAGCATCCCCATGAGTTTCAAAGCGTTTTCAGAGGCAAGGAATCCTCAGGGGTGGTTTTGCCAGTTCCTGTTCTGGGTCAAATAGTCTACAGCACTTGGTATTCTATAGTGGTCTCCCATCCAAGTACTAGCCAGGACTGACCTTGCTTAGTTTCTAAGTAGGCTTTGTAGGAATTGAGAGGAGAACACTTCTCCCCTTCACTGCCTCAGATCTCCTCAAAACATTGTCCGGCTCCTCCAGAAAGAATGAAGCTTGTTTCGATCACACTCAGGACTTCCGGGTGTGAAGCCCCTCCTAGATCAAGTATGTGCCCCGATCCTTCTCCTGCCTTTTGGAGGTCAGGATTAAGACCTGGAAAGGACCAGTAAGGGACATCACTCGGATCACAAGTCTACCTGGCCTGCCTACTTTGCCGGCAGACAGTTCTACCTGCTTTTTTGTTTTAAGTCTCCCACACCTTTACCGCTATGTAAAGGGACCTTATAGCCTCTTTGAGAGTAAGAGAAAGAAGTC